TCGAGGTCAAGTCGAAGGGCCTTCAAATCATCCTGGATTTGTTTCATCCATGTCTTCTTTGGTGCATTTCGATGCACCCTCCAATCGGTGGGGCGGGTCAACCAGAGTAGGCCATGGGGGTAGCGGCTCGGCGGCTAAATAGTTACCTAAAAAAAACTTCAATGTTATACCGTGTAACTGAATATGCTGCGGTTAGATTGGAAAAGAACACTTTAAATACCCCAGCTCCCTTCAGAAAAAGGCCTAAATGTTGGCAGACATGACTTTAAGTAATTAAATAATCTATATTTCCATCAACAAGTGATATACACATTAATGAATCTATAATTATGATCCAGTAATATTAGATAATCAGGATCATGATGTCCACTGGATTATTTATCCTGCAGAAACTGGGGCTATTACTTTTTCTCATCGTCTGTTTACAGGCACAAAAATCTTTACTACTTGACTAACGGGCTCAGCGAAGAGCGCCGAGTCCATCGACGTCTCTGCTCATCTCATCAGATCTCAGAACAAATGCTGTGTAAAGCCCCACTGATTGGGCCTTGTGATTCCTGTTTAGGCTGTTGATTGTCTCTTTAGGGAAGGAAGTGAGATGAGACCATGTTTTGCATTAAGGTATTCTCCTCAGTTTTTTTGTTGTAGTCAGGATTCTTTGAGAAAGTAGCAAAAATACATCCACACTGTATTTCTATAAATATGCTTGGTTATAGTTCATTTAAATCTTATATGAGTAACAGGGTAAATGAGTAAATTAAACTATTAATTTTTCCTGTGTAAACAATCACCATCTGTAGATATGTTCATTTTATTATCCGCAAATTATATTGGTGTCTTTGTTGGCTAAGGATTCCAGCCAGTCCACTAGATTAGGCGATAAAGTGATTACAATTTCAGGATGATTAAATTGGTGTTAGCTATTTATTTCCAGTGCGGAATTACTGTTATTATTTGTTAAAATGTGTGTATTTATGTTTTTGTGTTTTAGGTATCCTTGAATACAGTGATGACACAGCCATGGCACGCTGTGTGGCTCAGTCTCTACTCACCAGGACTGGCTTTGATGAGCACGACATGGCTCGCAGGTAGAGGAATCATCATCATCTTTATCTAAAATAAGCCTAAAATCACTTCACCATCATCATCATCTTCTTTCTTTCTTCCTTCCTTCCTTCCTTCCTTCCTTCCTTCCTTCCTTCCTTCCTTCCTTCCTTCTCCTGCATTAAGCCAACTTTCCTCTGATTGGTTGTTCCTTGTAAACCAGGGGTAGGCAACGCCAGGCCT